TCCAGTTTACAGACGCAGAATCTGATGCTCCAGAAAATTGGAGTGATTTTCCAAAGTTCACCTGGCTCATAAGTGCCTGAGCTGAGACTAGAACCAGCTCTAACTCTTGGTTTAAATCTCAATCTATGACCTACACTGCCTCCTAGGGGAAAAAGGTAATTGAACAAAAACAGGCAAGTGTCCTACTCAGGCCAGTGTTTACTTCTTCCTTCCCCCTCCTCTTACCTCCTCTCATACACCTCCCCCTTCAGTGTGGATCCTGGGATTCTGCATAAATGAAAGGGTCTTGTGTGGGTGTCCAAGGGTCTTCTATGTTTGAGTGGATAAATGAAGCAGCCTTACAACAGAGCGCCTGGCTAGGTGCTGCAGGAGAAAGAAGATGAATTCGACAGGCTTGGTCTGTTTGCAAAACCTCATGAACTAGAATGCAGAACACAATGAAGAATTGCCAGGAGGTAAAGACAGACCTTAAAGTCCAAGTGGGAAGTTCTACAAGCCAAAGTCATGATGATTGTGCCATGGGGGATATCAGGTTGGATATAACCCTAGGTGGGAGGGACTAGGGTCTTGATGGTGAAATGGGGGCAGGTGACCTGGTTTCTAGCTCATAGATCATAAGAGGCAGGCAGCTAAAATTAAGACCTCGGCAAAAGCTGGGACCTTGGAAGGGATGCATCCTCAGAGAAATCAGGATTAGAAAAACATCACTCATAGGTTCAGAGCAGGACAAGGGCTCTGCATAGACAAAAGTTCTCCAGTGAGAAATAGGAACTCTAGGCCCACCCAAACCAAATGTAACTACAGTGTCATAGTTTTCACTATTGGAATTTTCAAGTTGAGAAATTGAAGTAAAAATAGGTTCCAGGCCAGTAAAAGTCATAGGGTATTGGGAGAAGGAAGCATGAGACTATTCTGGAAGAATGTGTTCCAGAGTGACAGCACTCTCACAGCAAATTATACCCCCCTTTGAAGTTGTACTGACAATAAAACAAATTTCAAACCACATGAGGAAGTGATATGCCATTAAGAAGAATCGGCAAACATATCAAGTTAGTTTAGCATTCTAAAACATAAAATGGTATAACAATCTGAAAGAAATTTTAAGAGATCTATGTTTCAGATGGTTAAAAAGTTGAAAAAGGAATACAAACAGTAAAAATAGGATATTTTGAAAGACGGCAGGCCAACTGGTGAAATAAACAAACAAATATATAATACTTTCCAGAAATGAAAAAGATAGTCATGGAAATAAAAGTCCACTGGATGTGCCAAACAGCAGATTAGACAAAGCCAAACAGAGAATAAGTGAACTGAAAGGCAGATCAGAGGAAATGACCCCAAATGCTGCACAGGAAAATGAAGAGAGAGAAAATATGAAAGAAGCTAAGGGCATAATGGGCAGAACAAGGGAGTCCAAATGATGCCTACAAGGGGTTGCACAAGGAGAATTGAGAGAATGCAGGAATTGGCAATACTCAACTTTATAGACTTGATGGAAGACATTCATTTTCAGATTGAAGAACTATCGGGAGTTCTCAGGAAGACCCATAAGAATAAATTCACACTCAGATATGTCATCTGAGTGCAACTGGACTCAAGGGAGCACAACCAGTGTGTCGAGGGAGAAAGACAAAGGAGGGTTTAATTTTGTGCAGGAATGTCTGGGGAAGTTCATGGATCACAGAGGCTCCAAGGCCGAGTTGAACTTTAGAAGGCAGAGAATATGGTGAGGCTGGCAAGGAGACCTGGAAAATAGGAAAATATGAAGTTCCAGCTGGTCTGACTAGCTTCTGAGCAGGCTTTAACCCATTTAAAAATATATATATTTTATTATTTATTCATGAGAGACACAGAGACATAGGTAGAGGGGGAAGCAGGCTCCTTGTGGGGAGCCCGATGCGGGATTTGATCCCAGGACCCCATGATCATGACCTCAGCCAAAGGGAGATGCTCAACCACTGAGCCACCCAGGTGCCCTAACCCAAGTTGTTTTGAGTAAGGTTACCTACCCGGATTCTGGATACCTGCTAAATAAGTGTTTCACGGGATATGCTCTATGCCTTTGCTCAGACCTCTTTGTTCATCCTGTTTGGGTCCCCTCCTCTGTCCCTGAGGTCATCATGACTCCACATCCCGGGGAAGGTAGAGGCCTTCATCTTCCTGAGACCACTCATAACCACCTTGCCCTCTGAGGCCTCCCCCTCCTTTGGGGGCTGACATGAAATTGGACTCTGCAACCTTCCGTCTACTTGGGGTCCTTCAGGGGAAAAAAAAAAAAGGCCCCCTCTCTGAAGTGGACAGCAGGGGCTTGCCCTGCTGCATCTGTGTCTTGTTAGCAGCACCAGTGGCTTCATAGGAACAGAAAAACCTGGCCATGGTAATTGGCTCATGAAAGCTGCATGTTGCTGCAGGGGGAGGGAGGGTCTGCAGAGGAAGGGGAGAGGGCTTAATGGGAAGCAAATGCCTTGGAAGAGCCTAGTGAGGACCCTCCCCCAATTCATGGCCATTAGCATTCCTCAGACACCTGCAGGCACTTGGCCCTGGCTGGGGATGGGATGTGCTGACTCCTCCCTGCCGGAGCACAGAACAGAATGCTGAAGTTTGGTTCCAATTAGGGGGGCAGAGAGCAGGGGTGGATGGGAGGCAGGAGACCACTTCCTTGTATCTTTTGAGAGCATGCGGTTTTATTTGTCAGTTGTTGGATTCTGTTGCACCTATGGTTGTTTATGGTGTCAGCCAAAGAGCAGCGGCCTTTGGGACCCAATGAACCCGGGTCTGTATCCCAGATGATCCCTTTCCTGGCTTTGGGACCGGAGACAAGCACAGAGTCGCTGGGGTCCTCAGTCTCCTTCTCTGTGATAATGAGGGAATAATATCTACCAAACCGGGTTACTGGGAAGAATAAATAAGACCATTTGAAGGCACCTAGCAGAAGGCCTATTATGGAATGGATGCTCGAAAAACATTCATTTCTTTATCCTTGGCTTGAAAGTAGCTTTGGGGGGAAGGATGGTGTCTTACTCCATCTGTAATCTCTGAGGTGCTTGATGCAGTGCGGGGCACACAAAATCCACCAGAAGGGAGTGAATACCCTCTCCTCGGAGCTCCCCTCCTCTCACACTAGCATAGGTCAAAGGTCAGCTCAGAAGCCCGAGATGCCAGGGGAGGCGGTCTGAGTCCCTGAAGAGTCCTTGAAATGACCATGGTGGCAAGCTGTTGACCAACCAGGAAAAAGGCATTTCTCCTAGAGGCCTCTTGAAGAGCTTACTCCATCCAGAGACTGGGAGACTCCAGATGCCTCTTGCAGGGAGCGGGGGGCTGTGTCCAGGGAGGAGGAGGCTGCCCTGGCACAGGGACCCAGCCCGGCCCAGGGAAAGGCACCATCTTGCTGTTGCATCTCCTACCCCGTGCTTGCCTGCGGCCGGAGGAGGGCGAGAAGGTCCCTGGGGTTGGCTCCCCTGCAGCCGCGAGGGCCCCTCTGGCTGGGGCTCCTGTCCACCTGCTCTCCAGCTGCTGGCGGAGCTCTGGTCTACTGCAGCATCTCCCATGCATCTTGAATCTGTCGCCCTTCGGTGCCAAACATCTGCAGAGTGGATCTACTGGCCGTTTATTTTCTGTTTGTCTTGGGTGTGACACAATCTCCATTCTTCACTTTAATGACTCCTTTCTTTATTATTATTGTCTCAACCACTCTGTTTATTTGCTTTCCCCTAGCCCCAGCCACTTTCCCTCTCTGCTCCCAGATTGGCCCGGGCCCATACCAGCCCTCCCGGCCTCCCTTCCTCCCTGGCTCCGGCCGGCCACCTCCTCTGGCATCCCAGGGCCCTGCTCTCCCTGCTGGGAGTCTCACTCAAACCAGATGTGGCTTCCTCCTCCTCTTCCTCCTCCTTCCCCTGATTTTCCAAGGGCTGCAGAGGGCAGCGGGGGAGGAGAGGCTCTCCCCCCCAACATCCTGCTTCCCTGCCCAGCTCTGCGGCCCATGCCAGGGAAGGGTGGGAGAGCAGTGCATGACAGGACATCTGTTTAATGCCAAAAGTGACGGGTGGTGGGCACTGCTGGGCAGGAATGCTATCCCTGGGAGTTTAGTCAACAGGGTGCCTTGGTCCCCTCTGCAGCACAGCTGCACCGGAGCAGTTGAGACACTGTCCATGACATTAAATGTCCCAAACTCTTTGTGCATTGTATCAAGTCTCCTCTGCCTAAACATTGCCCGATTAGCGACATCTTACAATTGGTTAGTACTTATGGGCAGGAAAGGCCTTTATATCCACTGCCTCAGCCACCATCTCCACAGCCCTGGGACAGAGGAGTCTCCAGGACCACTTAGCTGATAAAGGCCAAGGAAAGATTGGAGCCCAAGTCTGGTCTGATGTGAAGAATACCTGATTGACTCCCAAACTGGGCCTGCCTTCTCCACCTGGCCCCGTCTGACCCTGTTCCAACACCTGAGAATGAAACTTGTTTGAGTTTGGAGGCCTCAGCGAGCCTGGGAAACACCTCTCTGTTTCTGGAATCATTTCTACCTCTGGCCACAAAGCATCTTTGGAATTTGACCTCTGGTATTACTGTAGTGATTGTCAGAGGTGAAGTTATAGCTCCCACTGCGTGAGGAATATCGGAGAAAGCAAGAGAAGCTGGGGATGGGTCGGTCATGGGGAGGGGGGGTGACTAAGGCTTCACCCTATAAATAGTCACCTATGAGGAGCCCGACCAGGGGCCAGGTCACATTTTGGGGGGCCTGAGCTTTTATTATGTGGTGGTAGAGGGGAGGCTCTCTTTAAGAATTCACAGGTATGAGCACAAAGTTACCAGGACCCCTTACAAGGTCTTGCAAGAAGCCTGCGCAAAGATTATTCACTTCTTGGAAAATCCACCCGCAAACAGAGCCTGAGCAAGTTCAGACTGAGCACAGAGGTGGAGTCTCAGGGAACGTTGTCATTTGGAACTGACCAGAGCAGTGCTTGTCAAGCCTTAGTGAGCCTAATGCACACCAGGGGCATGGTTAGCACGCAGGCTGTGCCTGGTGCCCAGAAATTCTGCTTTAGTGGACCTGGGGTGGAGACTGTGAGCCTGCATTTAGCAAACCCTTCGGAGGATTTTGGTCCTGGACACCCGGGGATTACACTATAAGAAACACTGGTCTAGTCCAACCCTGTCACGAGGAAGTGATGGTGGAGGACGGGAGGACCAGCCGTAGAGCACATCGGTGGCCGAGGCTGCGCTGGAATCCAGGTCCTGGGTTCCCGGTTCTCTGTTCCTTCGGCTTGCCACGCTATTCCTGGCCAAGCTCAGTTCCAGAAGAAGGTGCGTTATTAACACAGGGGTAGGGGTAAGTGGTGCGAAGCAGGGAGAGCTCTGTGAAGGGAGGTCGCTTTGTGAGACACGCGTACCGTCAGGCCGCTTGGGGCTCTTGAAAGGTGACAGACCCAGGGCCTAAAGGCAGCGCCCAGGTCACTGGGGAGGGGACCTTTAATTGCTGGCAGGTGCGTTAGGAGCCGGGCAGAGCATCTCCGAGGATGGAATGTCAATGGAATGGTCGCTCAGAGCCTTCCAGAGCTCCCTAGGTCAAAGGTCACCATCAAAGGATCCAAGCCTCAACTGTGAGTCAACGTGACCCCTCTCATTAAGCCAAAATACAGATTCTTCTCGATATGAACTTTGTTTGTTTATTTGTTCCAGCTGGAGGTTGGGCCTAAGTATGTAAATGACTCTAATCTGCTGATGGATGAATCGAGAGTCTCTTCACCAGGAGGAGGACGTGTCTCCCTGGGGAGGGGACCAGAGGCAGGGGCAGGCCAGAGGTGGGCTCCCAGAATGACAGAGGGGATGACAGGAATGTGGACCACAGAGAGTGCCCTCGACTCACCGCAAACATCGCCCCTGCTGTGTCCTGGCAGGAGTCACCCCAGCACAGGGACCTCACGCCTTATTTGCCCTCCTGCCTGCCTTGTCCGTGAGGACCCTTGCATGCGGCGTCCCTGTGACACGGGGTTCTTGGTTCTTGTCTCACGGAGTCGAAGAATGAATCTCGTGGACAGCAGAGAGTGGGCAAAGCCACAGAAGTTTTTCAAGCAGAGATACGGAGAAAGCTGTCAGCAGCGAGGGGGGCCCGGCAGGGTGGCCCCTGAAGGGCTTTTATGGTCTTTTATAGGAAGCTGACCAGGGAACTTGGCAAATTTCTTGCCAATTATCAGGGTGGACTTTTAGAACAAACAGAGTGGACTTGTAACCATCAGAATAACAAACAAGTTTTTAAATAAATATCCCCAAACAAGGGGTTCCCTTCTCTCTGGTTAATGTCTCCTCCATATTATTTCTCTATATCTGTGATTTCTGGGATTACTTAGCCATCAAAGGGAGGTACTCCCTAACATTTTGGAGCTAGGGATCCAGGTTGTTTTGTTTTTTGTTTTTTTTTCTGTTTTTACTGTCTTATCTCTGTTTCTCGGGACGGGTAGGAGCCTGACTCTGGGGCCTCTCGGTGTCCTTGGGGTTTATGGGAGCCCACAGATTCCTGGGGCTTTTCGTTATCTCTCCCTGCCTAACCCCGTCTGCCCCTACCTCGTTCCTGCATCACCTCTCCTTGAGGTTCTCCACCAACCCTGCCAGGCCTGGGCCTGTGTGGCGGGCTGACAGCCCCCAAAGTGGACGAAGCCTGCGAGGACTCCTCTCAGATTAGGATAGCAATGACATTGCTCAAGGTTTCGAGAGGGAGCCTAACAGGCCTGAGAGTCAGGGCGACATGCTCTTGACCACTGCCTTTTCAGGGCCCAGCCCCGGGGGTGCCAGCCACAAAGCCTCCTAGAGCCGTGCGACCAGGTGGCCTGGCTCCTTCCCATGGTCGCCTGTCGCCTGCTCGCGGGGAGGAAGGGCGAGGGCAGGGGAGAGCGCAGGCAGGAAGGGGCAAGGTGGCGGCAGGCCCTGGGCCCTGGGCCGGGACGTCCAGGTGGGCAGGCCCAGGGAGGCCAGAGGGGAGGAGGGGGGCCAGAGCAGGGCGGGGGGGACGCCGCCAGAGGAGAGCCAACCCCCTTGAAAGCTGCTATTGTTCGAGATCTCTGCTCAGAGAAGCCCCCAGTAAAAAGAGCTTGTTAGAGAGGGCCAGGCTGGAGACAAGCGGCTCTCAGAGAGCCAGTGAACCGTGCGAAATGACTTAAACTAACATCCCTGACTGCACTGGGCTGGGACCCAGGAGTCAGTGCCGTGTGCTCATCAGAAATTCATAGAAGGTGCCCCGCAGCTCGGCTTTCTCTGGCCGCCTTGTTCATTGAGCGTTTTTTTTCTTTCCAGTCCTGCGGCTCTGAAAGGGAGACAGGGGCTGCCTGATGGGGAAGATCAAGTGGCCTTTGAAAACCTCTCTCGGAGTTTATTAAACCCTGGGGCCGGGGCAAGCCGACCTGGAGGCCCAGCCAGGCCCGGCTCCGCCCTCCCCGGGCTCCCCACCGGGAACCTGGCCGGTTCTCATGTCCCGCACTGGGCAGGCCTGGGCTGGGGACCCGCGAACAGGAGGCAGGGTGCGAGGGAGACAGGGTCCTGGAGGAGCTGTGGCCAATACACTCCTCTTTTCCCAGAAAACGTGGGAGAGAGAGTGTGTGTTTGGGGAGGGGGGCAGTGGGCCGGGGTGGAGGCCCTTCACCCCCACAAATGACACAGGCCTTCCCTCTCTGACCACCCCCTTCCCAGACACCCTCCTGCTCGGACTCTTCACGCCAAGATTTCTCGAGTGTTTGTGCCGAAGGACACATGGAGGGTGGGGGGGGAGTGGGAGGAGACAGGAGTTGGAGGGTCTCTAGGCTGGATCACAGCTCAGTGACCAAGTAAGGGCAGGAATGAGGCTTCGCAGAGGCAGGCTCAAGTTTCCAGGATCTGGAGCCCCTGAGCCATGGAGGCGCAGGAGATCGCACCTGCTGAGGCTCGGTTTGCCCCCCCACTCCCAGCTCCCCGGGGACTGGCTTGGGCGGAGTCAGCTCGCCTGAGACCCGGGGCTAAAGGTAGAGGCCCCACGAAGGCGCTTTGTGAACTGGGAAGCTCTGAGTCAGCGTAAGGACAGTTACGGCCGGGTGCCTCCTTCTGCAAAGACGGCCGGGTGCCTCCTTCTGCAAAGACCGAGGGCCTCGCACGTGCCAGACACTATTCTAGACGCTACACAGACGTGGGGAGCAGAGCATGGTCTGTGCTGTTGGGGACAGGGCGGGAACTGTAGGAGCATCAGCTCTGTAAGATACACGTGTGGTTTCTAAACCCGGCTGAGTGGCTTCCCGGCCTGGTGACCCCAGGCCATGACTGCACTCCTCTCATCCAGGGAAAGGGGTGAGCCAGGACATTCAGGCAGAGCCGCTCCCTTTACCAGTTCCTTCCTTCCTTAAAAAAAAAAAAAAATATATATATATATATATATATATATTTATATTTATATTTATATTTATTTATATATATAAAATATTTTATTTATTTATTCATGAGAGACACAGAGAGGCAGAGTCACAGGCAGAGGGAGAAGCAGGCTCCCTGTGCGGAGCCTGATGCGGGACTCGATCCCAGGACCCCAGGATCACAACCTGAGCCGAAGGCAGATTCTCAATCACCGAGCCACCCAGGTGCCCCCCTTTACCAGTTTCTTTCCTGGGGGTCCGAGTTTGATTTCTTTTGAAAAGACAGTTCTGCTTATTGCAAACGTAGAAAACCATCCCTCGACATCCCTTTCCCCCATTTTAATCTTTTGGGTCTTGTTCCGTGCACTGTGCTCCCTTTCCAGGTCTTTCCAAGGTGACTGACTAGCTTCCTACCACCTTGCTGGATGCCTCCCGCGGAAGGAGACTGATCTTTTCCGGAGCCAGCTTTGGATGTGGACTCCAGCTCTGTCTCTGCCCCCTTTTACATTTCCCCTTTATTTTTTTAAAATTTATTTATTTATTTATTTATTTATGATAGTCAGAGAGAGAGAGAGAGGCAGAGACACAGGCAGAGGGAGAAGCAGGCTCCATGCACCGGGAGCCTGACGTGGGATTCGATCCCGGGTCTCCAGGATAGCGCCCTGGGCCAAAGGCAGGCGCTAAACCGCTGCGCCACCCAGGGATCCCCTACATTTCCCCTTTAAACAAGTTCAAAGTCCTTTAAAGTTTTTCCTAAAGGTCTTTTTCTCAGTTACCGTAGAGAATAAACAGGTGGGAAGGGTCTGCAGACATAAAGCTGTCCCCGGACCTCGGGAAGGCTGCAGGGTGTGCGAGTGGAGTGGTGTATTCCTCACGTTTGCAGCTTCCTTCTCCAGGGTCCAGGCAGCCAACAGGCATGTCTGAAGGTCTTACCTCCCAAGTCAAGGCCAACTCTGGTCTCCTGCTGGAAATACGGGCCGCACCTTGTCCTGTAGATTCAGGACCCAGGAGGAGATTGGGGTGGGTTGTAGTGCTGAGTCAGACCACCAACCCAGTCCGGGCCGGCACAGAAGTTTCAGCTCTTGTACCACCTCTTCCCAATCTGGGGGTAGCTGCCCGGAACACTCCTTTTAGGCAGATCCTGAGACACTGTTGCTGTTTCATTATTATTGTTGTTATCATTATTATTCATTATTATTCCCAGAGTGTTACTATTGACTCGAGATGCCTGCCTGCGGGGGGCACATCCTGAGGAATGATACAATCGGAGCTGTTTCTCCCTGAACCAAATGAACAGGGCAGAGAATTACCAACACCCCCACTAATCATATTTTTTCTGACCCAAAATGTAAGAACAAGGGATCTGACACCAGGCCGGAATACTTGAACTTGGGAACTGTGCCCAAAAGCTGGTATCTGTGTTCATGGCATGTCCCCTCACAGAATTGTAGTTCTTAAAAAGCTGGTGGGGGCTTCTCCTAGAAAGTACCCCTTAGTGGTTTCCAAACTATTCTTTTACAGGTTTGTTATGATGGTCAGCCTTGCTTCTGAGGAGCTCTTACGCAGAAACATAAACAAATACAGCAGATGACCCTGAGCGGCTCTGGTAGAAACGGGGAGTGGGGCTCAGGGCCCTGCCTGCTGCAAGCTTCCTTCCACCCAGAAAGAAAGAAAGAAAATCTTAAAAAATATTAAAATAAAATACTTCTGGAGAGGTAAAGGAATCGAGACCCAGGGGGTCTGAGTTACTCGCTCAGTTACACGTTCACACACCGGCATAGACTGACCTGCACCCTCAAACTTTCTAGGCCCCTTGTCCCTAAGCAATGAAGGACCTCCTGCTTTTTTTTTCCTCTTTCTTTCTTTCTTTCTTTCTTTCTTTCTTTCTTTCTTTCTTTCTTTCTTTCTTTCTTCTTTCTTTCTTTCCCCGACCTCTCATCCTGGCTGTGCTGGCACCTGGCTGTGCACACCCTGATGACATGATCACACTCCCCCTTCCTCTCCATGCCCACAGCTCCTTGGGGATCCCAAGTCTTGGTCCTCGGCCTGGGCTGCTTCTTGGTGTCCATGGCCCCTTCCTCTTTCTATCACATGTCCACCTCCCCTAGCTCTGTAGGGTCAGAGTGACCTCCAATTCTCTGCCTGCGTGACGGGGCTGGGGGCACAGCAGCCCAGGACTCGAGCCCTCTGCTACAGTTCTGGGACAGGCTGTGTGCCCAAAGCCCACTCTGCTTTCCTCACCTCCTCCATCTCTGAACCTGTTCATCACCTGTGCCCACACTCGTTTTCAGGACGCACCACCTATCTGGTTCTCTTACCCCAACTCTGTCCTCTGTGCTCCCCAAAATGCCCTTCTGTCCAAACTTCTCTCCTCTATTTCATTTTAAGAGCCTTTCAGAAACCATTCTCTTCCCAGGAGCCTCCCCAGATCGAAGGGAACTAAAGCTATTTTTCCTTGAAATTTCCTTTTTTAAAGATTTATTCATTTATTCATGAGAGACACACAGAGAGAGGCAGAGACACAGGCAGAGGGAGAAGCAGGCTCCCCGCGGGGAGCCCGATGAGGAACTCAATCCCAGGTCCCTAAGCTCCCGGGATCACCACCCGAGCCAAGGGCAGACGCTCAACCGCTGAGACACCCAGGCGTCCCTTCCCTGATATTTCAACCCATTCATCCTAACTTAGCCCAAAGCCTACCGGCGCATGGTGCTGGGCATCCGGCCAGGGTTAGTTTATTTTGTTCTTGGGTGCTGAGCTCTGGTGTCTTCCTGATTTATTTTGTGGTCTGTGCGTCCTCTGCATCTGTCCACATACGCACGGCTGCTTGAGAGCCCGGCCCCGCAGGCGGGCATTAATAGAGTACAATGAGAAAAGTAAACAGGGCAGCTGCACTCGCGTGGGCCGGGACCCCTGGGTGGGGGGG